GAAGCTTTCTCCTGTTCAGTCTAGGGCCACACACACACACACACACACACACACACGTGTGCACATACACATCCCACCCACTCACACACACACGTGTGCACATACACATCCCACCCACTCACACATACACACTTTCTTTCTCACTTCCCTGCTTTATTTGTCTGTTTAGCAGTTATTACTACCTAATATACTGTATATCCTATTTATTTATCTTATTTAGTGACCATGTCCCCTACTAGAATATAGGCTCCACAGATCAGGGGGATTTTTGGTCTGCTCTGGTCACTGCTGTATCCCCTGTACCTAGAAAAACCCTGGCAGATTCTTTGTGAATGTTTATGAAATACATGAAGGAACAAATGAATGAATGGACCCAAGCTAGGTTTACTGAAGGATAACTTAATGCCAGCCTTAGAATCTAATCCCCCTGTAAGATATAAGTATGTTTCCTTCCATTCTGTTCTCTCTCTCTCATTTTTTTCACATGGCTATGATCAGACTGTATATATTTTACATCTAACTTACCTCACCTAAAATTATACATGTATATAATAGGCATAGAAAATGTCTTTTTCCATCTTAAAATACTACAACTTCATTAAAAGAAAATGTGGAAATGAAAACTCATAATTGAAAAGAAAAATATTCATAGACCCACCCCATTGGAATTATCGCTAACATTTGGTACTTTTGCCTTTTAGGTCATCAGTTTCAGAGTGTAAGTTTTAAATGACATTATGATCACACTAAAGAGAATTTTTCGTACAAGTCTTTTAACAGACTTGGCATTTCATTGCATAAACAATTAAATGAGATCGATCAGAATTTACTTAATCGTTTCCCTATTTCTGTATATTTAGGCTGTTGTCAATTTTTTTCTTTTATAATATCGCAACAGACATTTTTTTATAAAAAGCTTTTCCAAATTTGGGTTTAAGGAAATGACTTTTGAATGGTCCCTATGCTACCTTTTAGCATCCTGCCATAATCCCCTTCATTCCCTCACCCCACTGCTGATGTAATTTATGGCTCTGGCTTCTTATTTGTTTGAAGCTCATCCCTTAAGGGGTGACCTCCCAGTGTCTTCAATTATTATTTTATTATTCTTTTTTTTTTTTCTTTTTGCGGTACGCGGGCCTCCCACTGCCGTGACCCTTCCCGCTGGGGAGCACAGGCTCCGGACGCGCAGGCTCAGCAGTCGTGGCTCACGGGCCCAAACGCTCCGCGGCACGTGGGATCCTCCCGGACCGGGGCACGAACCCGCGTCCCCTGCATCGGCAGGCGGACCCCCAACCACTGCGCCACCAGGGAAGCCCTCAATTATTATTTTAAATGATGCCTTAGGCCATTGCCTGGCACAGCAGTGCCCTCACCTTCCCGCCTTCGGCCTTCCAAGCATGGAGCTCAGCTGCCAAACTGGCTGTGCCCCCTCCCGTCTTCAGCACTGCTTCCAGAGTCCCAGCAGAGAGGCATATTAACCCCTTTTGTTAGCAGAGGTAATTTGCCTGGGCTCC